GCTCCAGCCATTGCGGTTATTTGAGGAGTGAATAGACAGACATAAATCTCTCCCCACTCTCCTTCTCTCTCTCTGTGCCTTCAAATAAACTGAAACTTTTTACTTTTTTAAAGAAATGAACATACTCATGTAGAAAGCTGTCTAAAAAAGCTTCCTGTGCCCAGTGTGGTGGCCTAGCAGTTAAAGTTCTTGCCTTCAAGACATCAAGATCCCATATGGGTGCCATTTCTAGTCCTGGCAACCCCACTTCCCATCCAGCTCCCTGCTGTGGCCTGGGAAAGCAGTTGAGGACGGCCCAAAGCCTTGGGACCCTGCACATGCATGGGAGACTTGGAAGAGGCTCCGGGCTCCTGACTTTGGATAGGCTCAGCTCAGGCCGTTGTGGTCACTTGGGGAGTGAATCATCAGACAAAGGATCTTCCTCTCTGTCTCTTCTCCTCTCAGTATATCTGACTTTGCAATAAAAATAAATCTTTTTTTAAAAAAGCAAAGCTTCCTTAAATGTATGTGTGTGGTAGTACAGAAACATATGTACACAATAATCCCAGTTTTGTTGAAAACAGCAAAACTACTTATGGGCATTTGTGAATTATGAAGAAAAAAATTACAAAAGGCTACATGCTTTTTACAGTAGTTATTCAAGAGTAGTAATGGGAATGGATAAAGTCTGGGAAAGAGAACGAGGATGGACTTTCTGTACTATTTACCTACTTAATAAAGAACACGTATTACCTGTATAAAAATTTGTAAGCTGATAATAGAAATACCAAAAAAGGGTAAATTTAAAGTAACTAAAATGAAAATAAACTCTGAATAAACAAAAAGCATGAAATTGTAATTGTTATTCTCACCTTCCATTATGATCTTTCCCTTTTTAAACAAAGTTTATTTATCTGAAAGGCAGAGTCTTACACACACATATACAGCAAGAGACAGAGAAAGAGAGATAGGGAGAGGGGTCTTCTACTTGCTGGTTCACTCCCCAAATGGCTGCCAGGACCTGGGCTGGGTCAGGCCAAAGTAAGGATTCAGAAGCTTTTCCCAGTTCTGCCACACAGGTTCAGGGACCCAAGCATTTAGGACATCTTCCATTACTTTCCCAGGTATATTAGCAGGAAGTGGATCAGAAGTGGAATAGCCAGGACTTGAACCAGTAATGGCATTGCATGTGGAAGTTTAACCCAATAAGCTATAACTCTAGTCCCACTCTGATCTTTCTATTGTCATTTCTCACAATGGCATCAATTTCCACTTAGTCACTTAAATTTAAAAGCCCATGAGTCACTTTATAATCCTTCCTCTCACTTCTTGTACTTCATTCACTCACTCATTCAATCAATCAATAAATGTTTAACTGCCAACTATGTCTAAGGGTTACTTTAAATATAGCTTGGTTTCAAAATAAATTTTAAAAAAAAAAACTGTAGCTCTAGGTTCCTAAGTATCTCTGAAATCTCTACAACCTGACTTTTAACTACAATGATTCAAAATAACAAGGTATTAAACTCCTACTACTTGGTCCCAGTGTTCTGGTGTGATGGGTTAAGCAGCTGCTTGCAATACCAGCATCTCATGTTGAGTACAGTTCAAGTCCCTGATGCTCTGCTTATAATTCAACTTCCTGCTAATGGCCTAGGAAAGCAGTGGAGGATGGTCCAAGTTCTTGGGCCATGCACCTATATGGGAGACCCAGATAAAGTGCGTGGTTACTGGCTTCAGGGACATCACGGTCATTTAAGGAGTGAACGAACTGATGGAAGATCCCTCTTTTTCTCCCTCCTGTCTCTCCCTCTTTCCCCTGTGTGAATGTGTTTGTATATAACTCTTTCAAGTAAAACTTCACCAAAAAAAAAAAAAATTCTGCAACTTCATCTTTTCTGAATTCTTCCCCAGTTCTCCCCTAACAGTCAAATTGATTGTGTCATTCCTCTGACATTCTTCAGTGCCTACAGCATGTTCCAAATTTTAAAAAAAGATTGTGTATTATGATCTGCAAAATCCTGTATAGTGCCTATTCACATTTTTTTCAGGTCCGTCACTAGACTGTGCCCTAATCCAAACACTTCACACTAGCCATACTAAAATGCTTGCTCTGACCTAAAATGCCTATTTCCTCATGTTAAATGTTTTTGATGTGTTATTCTACTTAGATTTTTTTTTTTTAACAACACTGCCTGGCAAACACTGCACATCCTTTGAGACTTGGCTCTAAGCCTAGGCTTTCCTCGTGAGCCTGAGGCACCTCTGCTCCTACCCATGACAACAACTGTTTAGAGAGGCTGTCTCCCCTGAGTCCCTAAGGGAATGGACAACACATCTTTCAGTCTTTCTAGCCTGATGCCTACTTTAACAGCCATCATACAACAGATATTTTATATTGAAAACATGAATAAAGAAATAACAAATGAGCACAGGTTTAAATAACTATATGACCTTAGGGAAGTTGTATCACTAAGTACATGAAATGTGGATAATTATAGCTATTCTATAAGGGTTATTTTTACAATCATGGTAGATGAGTTAATGTTCCTAGCACAGTGTCTGACATATACTAAATACTAGTAAATTCTGGCTAAAAATACTTTTCAGGATTAAATTTCAAAAAGTTTAACATTTTTAATCATCTACAATTCAAATACAGAATTTTAAACAAATTTGGAATACACGTAATCTATAAGTTGGAGTTCTTTAACCCCTTCCAACCCAATCTCAAAATCTCTTCCTTGGTCAAGCTGATTTCAGACTAACAATATTTAACAGCTCATGTCCACTCTCACCTCAAGAACTTTAGTCTATTTTGCTGGGAATTTCATTTCCTTTTTTAAATTTCATAGCTGAATATCTGATACTAAAAAATCTGTAAGAAAACTTCACTCAGGGCCCAGCGCGATAGCTTAGTGGTGAAGTCCTCGCCTTGACCACACCTGGATCCCATATGGACGCCAGTTCTAATCCCAGCGGCCTTGCTTCCCATCCAGCTCCCTGCCTGTGGCCTGGGAAAGCAGTCGTGGATGGCCCAAAGCCTTGGGACCCTGCACCCGAGTGGGAGAACCAGAAGAGTTCCTGGCTCCTGGCTTCGGATCGGCGAGTACCACCCATTGCTGTCACTTGGGGAGTGAACCACATGACGGAAGATCTTTCTCCCTGTCTCTCCTCTCTGTATATCTGGCCTTCCCAATAAAAATTTTAAAATCTTAAAAAAAAAAAAAAAAGAAAAAAGAAAACTTCATCCAGGGCCAGAATTGTGGTACAATGGGTTAAAAAACACCATTGCTTTTTTTTTTTTTTTTTAAGATTTATTTATTTATTCTTAATTGGAAAGGCAGATACACAGAGACAAGGAGATAGATAGAGAATGATCTTCCATTTGCTGGTTCACTCCCCAAGTAGCCACAATGGCTAGAGCTGGGCTATCTGAAGCCAGGAGCCAGGAGCTTCTTCTGAGCCTCCCACACAGCCACAGGGTCCGAAGGCCTTAGGCCATCCTCTATTACTTTCCCAGGCCACAAGCAGGGAGCTAAATGGTAAGCAGAGCAGCTGGAACACAAACCAGTGCCCCACATGGGATTCCATTGGATGTAAGGTGAGGATTTAGCTATTAGGCTATTGCGCCAGGACCTAAACTACCACTTCTAAGGCAGGCATCCCACATTGGAAAGCCAGTTTGAGTCCTGGCTTTTTCATTTCTAATTCATCTTTTTGTTAATGTTCCTAGGAAGATAGTGAAAGATGGCCCAAGTGTTTGGGGTCCCTATTACCCACATGGGAAACAAGGATGGATTTCCTGGTTCTAGACTCCTAGGTTGCACCTGGTTTAGACCTGGCTTCTATGGCCATCTGGGGAGCACAACAGCATATGGCTGATCTCTATCTCTCCTTCTCTTTCCATCACACTACCTTTCAAATAATCTTGATAAAAACAAACAAACAAAAAACTAAAAAAAAAAAAAAACAACACACTCTTTTTTTTTGTTTTGCTTTAGTGTTTTATGTTTCAATTATACTATATTTATATTCATAGCTATTGTACTGCCTTCAGTGTCATAGCCTGCTAATGTGAAGCATTAGTTTCTTTTTAACTTCCAGCTTTATACTTTTATTACCACATTGGTTTTTCTTTATTGTCACAATCTTAAAGTCTGATAATAGCAGTATTCAGCAACTTGGCTTCATATTCAGACTCCAACGAAATACTCAGTACTGAGTTCTTAAATACCCTGGATTCTCTGCTATTATGTCCTTAATATTAGTCATAACTGCCACCAACTGCAAGCTCTAAGGACTTCAACTTCTGATTACTCCAAGAGTAAAGACAGCCCTAGGTGAGCAGGCACACATACACACACAAACCCAATAAAATTCTTCAAATTAACCTAACCTAAGAAAGACAATGAATTCCAAACAAAGCTACACTTTTAAGTAAATGAGGACAGATTTTGCAATCTATTGTCACCAACCTTCTTTAAAATTCATATGTGGGGTATCAACTGGGTAATTTCTGGATACGTAAAACCTACATATTTACTTCAAGACTGTCTGCTATAGAACAAAATTATTTTTAAATTCAATTTTTCCATGAACATTTGTATACAGATACACACATCTAATATCTTTAAAATAAGTACAATGCTATGAAGTAATGTATTTTATCCAAAAATGTTATTTATGAGCGTTTTCACTAGTTTAAAAAGATTAAATTTTTCAGCTGTAAAATTTGAGAAGTGACATTCTTAAAATTCCATATACAAGTATTAAATAAATAAATAAATAAATAAATAAATAAATATAATCCTGACTGAATATATGAAAACGACCTTTCTATGGAGAATGTTCACATTATGTACTATTAAACTTTCTTGTAATTTTGACATTATATCCAGAAGCATGTCAAAAGAAAGAAACAATTCTTTTAAAACCTAGAATGTTACATTAATTTATATGTGAAATGGTTTAAGTAAAGCAATTTTTAAAGAACATGGGCAAAAATGACTTGGTGTTACCTGTAGTCGTTCCGATCATCAGCTTTTATTCCAGGCCAATCTCTCTTCAGGTACTGACTAGCCAACTTCTGCATATTCTGTTAGAAAAAAATATATATACATTTTTTTCTAAAATAAGTGTTGTGCTATATACAAAGTTCTTCTTCTTAAAATATATCACATAAAAAAGTCCCATTTTTCCAAGAGTAAATTTAATCCATCAGAACTGATGATAAAATGGCAGATCACTAACACCTCTCATTGTCCAAACTTCTTTGGTCTATTTTTAGCAAGCAGATAAGTAAAAGGTTAAGAAAACTTAAAATCAAATTGATACCCATTTCACATCACCAAATTACTCAATGGATCATAAAAACAAACTAACTCAGTAATGTCATGGAAAGCTTATCTGATCATCTCCCAAAGAGCTCTGATTATAGTCTGACATCTCAGCTTTTCACTATTTCCTTGCTATGGGAATGTACCACATTTTTAACTGCTGGCAGCCAAATTCTCCCATACCCAGAGAGGGAAAGAATACATTCAATTTGAAGCAAATCCACACTGACGTGTAACACTAATAAACTTTGATGCTGCTCCATTCTAGAAATTTTCAAGAATCTTTTAAAATGTATTGTTGGGCAGGGATCATGGATATACATGTGTTCACACCTATTGACTCACTACCAAAACATCCACAGCAGGAGCATAAACACAACTCAAGTTTCCCATGTGAGTGTCAAGAAACCAGCCGCAGAGATGGCTGCACTGCCAGAATCCAAGTCAGTGTTCCCAGGTGGTATGCAAGTGCCTTAGCTCATCTTTTAACCACCAGGCTAGATGCTTGCCCTGTTCTTCTCTTCTTTTTTTTTTTTTTTTTTTTTTTTTTATTTTTATTATTTTTTATTGGAAAGGCGGATGTACAGAGAGGAGAGACAGAGAGGAAGATCTTCCGTCCGATGATTCACTCCCCAAGTGAGCGCAACAGGTCGATACTATGCCGATCCGAAGCCAGGAGCCTCTTCCGGGTCTCCCACGTGGGTGCAGGTTCCCAAAGCTTTGGGCCGTCCTCGACTGCTTTCCCAGGCCACAGGCAGGGAGCTGGAAGGGAAGCAGGGCTGCCGGGATTAGAACCGGCGCCCATATGGGATCCCGGGCGTGCAAGGCGAGGACCTTTAACCACTTGCGCCACCGCGCCGGGCCCTTCTCTTCTTAAATAATACCAAAGCAGAAGCCTCTTCAGATGAAAAGACTTTATATTATATATAACATCATTTTTACATGGGAACATATGTGATCCCAGTGTAGTGAATACAGAAGTCCTTAGTTTTGGAATACTAATTTCTATCTACACCTGTAAGATGACAGAGCTGAACTAAAGAGCCATCATATTAATCAGTAGAAAAGACACCCTGCTTAAAACAAAGGTTGCTTGATTAAAAATCAATGTTTTGCTCTACATGTGGTATCTTTCTACTAAGGTTTGTTGTCAAACAATTTGTCATAACTGCTTGGCTTTACTCTTTCCAGGCACTATGTATTCTGAGAATTTTCATACAACTCCTTTACATAACACTTTCACTGAAAAAAACCTCGTTTTCAAAGGTGAAATTGAATCCCTAAGTTTTTCATGAATATGTATAATATTAATTCCTTTATACTTGTCATACTGTTCCCAATGCATGAAATATATTACCACCACTCCTTAACTATTTGCTGAATTCTTATCCCTGGCCATTTTAAACTGGTTTTTAAACCAGTTTTATAAAAAGTTCATTAAACTTTTGTGTTACTATGTTAATCCTAACATAAAACATTCAGAAGCATATGGAGGGAATTATGATTTTGTCATTGCCTTAATATTTCACTTCATTTTATTTCATTAGAGTCCAACAGTTTTTTTTTATTCTTTTCGCACTTACTACTTAAAATTTCATAAAGAACTGCTCCTCCTGGACTTTCTTGTTCTCTAGTTATAGCTCTTACAGGAAAGACAGGATAAATATTTGTTCATTTTTGGTCAAATAACCACAATTTTTTTTTATTACATTTGATTTTATGACACAGTTTCATAGGCTCTGGAATTCCCCCAAACCCTCCCAGTACCCTCTCCCCATGGTGGTGGATTCCTCCACCTAGTTGCAGCATTATAGTTCAAATCCAATCATAATTCTTTCATTGCAAGCATGTACTTTGCATAGAGTCCAGCATCTTATTGTCCAGATAAATTCAACAGTTTCTTGGGGAGACCATCTCTGGTCTGAAGGCAGAGCTGGCAGAATATTATCCCAACCAATTAAAAGCCACAACATAACATCAACAACTGTTTATAACATTATGGAGCTAAATGACATGGTATTGAGTGACCAATATGTTAGAAAATGCAAGTTCTTAACCACATTCTGTGATTACTTCATTGACATTTCAATTTTAGTATATACACAACCAGCTGCTATACACCTTAAAATGGCTATAGGGTACTATTCTGTTGTCTCGTGTCTATTTTTAGTCTTTAGTAGTTTATAGTGTTGAAGCATGGTTTTTACTGAACTTTGCGAATTTTAGGATAGTCCGAACAGGCTTATAAATCTTACAAGGCATATGTCAAGGCTCAGAAAGAGGCTCAGAACAGTTTTAGGAGGGGTGTGCAAAGAAATCTTCAATACCCTAGATGAGGAGTAGCTTATCTTCATGTCCTACCTAGTAAGGTATATATGAGTCCAGGCTAACAGTTTCCTGTCTAGGTCTTAACTTTCCCTGTTCTCTATCTAATTCCAATTTTTTTGGGGGGGGGGTGAGTGGGGGCTCTGGAGCAGCCCTGATGGTCAATGCAAGAGAGGGTAGGGGGCCCAGCGCGGTGGCACAAGTGGTTAAAGGTCCTCGCCTTGCACGCCCGGGATCCCATATGGGCGCCGGTTCTAATCCCGGCAGCCCCGCTTCCCTTCCAGCTCCCTTCCTGTGGCTCGGGAAAGCAGTGGAGGACGGCCCAAAGCTTTGGGAACCCTGCACCCGCGTGGGAGACCCGGAAGAGGCTCCTGGCTTCGGATCGGCATAGTATCGGCCATTGCGTTCACTTGGGGAGTGAATCATCGGACGGAAGATCTTCCTCTCTGTCTCTCCTCTCTGTATATCTGCCTTTCCAATAAGAAAATAATAAAAATAAATCTTAAAAAAAAAAAAGAGAGAGGGTAGGGATCCAAAGTTGAAACTAAGTAAGGACCAGAGAAAGCTCCTCTCCTGATTCCCAAAGGAAGTGTACTGTTCTGTTTCTGCGTACGGCTCAGGGCTCCTGGCTGCTATTCCGATGACCTTGGATCCTGTAAGGAAGGATTTGGGCTTCTTCCATCCCATGTGGGAGATCCAAACGGAGGTGGATGCCCTCAGAGCTCTAGGCCTACGAGGCACTCCAATTCTCAGTGGTCTCCTTGAAAGTTGGGATGTAGTCCTTGATGCCTGTACTGATAGTCCTTGGTGGGGATCTGGGAGTCTCCAGGGTTGGGATACAAGCCTCCTCCTGTCTACCTGCTCCACTCTGGGGTGCCCCCCTGCTCTGTGCATATGACCTCCTGTTAAGAGGTTGTCAGGATCGTTCTTGATTCCCCCATATGTCTTGATAGTTTTACTATTGTCTAAAGCTGATTCGAGTCTGTTGTCTATAAGTTGCCTGTTACGTTCTTGATAGGTTATACTTCACGTCATCCTCACATATTCTAAGGAGATGGAAGATTTCTCTGCTCTCCTGCCCCATTACCGAGTAGCCTAGGGTCTTCAAAGTATATTAGATTTACAATTCTGTGATGTAGATCATAAGCAGTCACATTGATTGTTAGTTCATTGGTTGCATCACAATATATTATTGCATGTAATACAGGCTGTTTGAGGTTGAAATAATACTACAATTTACAGGTACTATTTTTCAGATTGATATCATTTCATCTTAAATTAAGGCAAACATGTGGTATCTAATCTTTTGGGATTGGCTCATTTCGCTTAGCATAATGGCTTCCAGTTGTGCCCATCTGGCCACAAAGAACTGCATTTCATTTTTTTTTTTTTAATAGCGGAATAGTATTCCATGGAGTAAATGAACCATAGCTTTCTTATCCAGTCTTCTGTTGATGGGCATTTCGGTTGCTTTCAAGTTTTTGCAATTGTTGATTGTGCTACTATGAACATAGGGGTGCATGTTGGTTTTTTGTGTAACAAGTGTTTTGGATATATTCCTAAAAGTTCTATTGCTGGATCATGCAGATTTTCAGTTGTTTGAGTGTTCTCCATACTAATTTCCACAGAGACTGTAACAACCTGCATTCCCACCAGCAGTGGGGTAGGGTTCCCTTTTCCCCACATCCTCTCCAACAAGTGTTGTTGGTGGATTTTTGGATGTGGGCCATTCTTACTGGCATTAGGTGGTACTTCATTGATGTCTTAATTTGGATTTCCCTTATTGCCAGGGAACTTGAGCATTTTTTCGTATGTTTGTTTGCCATTTGGGTTTTTTTTCTCTTTTTTTCTGAAGTGTCTGCCCATTTCCCTTGCCCATTTCTGGAGTAGTTTGTTTTGGTGTTTTGGTTATTCTGGAGATCTTTGTATATTCTAGAAATTAGCCCTCTATTGCCTATGTAGTGTGCAAAGATCTTCTCCCATGTTGTGGGTTGCTTTTTTGTTGATTGTTTCCCTTGCTATACAGAAGCTTTTTACTTTGATGTAGTCCCATTTGTTTATCTTGGTCTTGATTGCTATTGCTTTTGGTGTTCTTTCTAAGAAGCAAGAGCCTACACCTAAGTCTTGCAGGGTGTTCCCAACATCTTCTTCCAAAAGTTTGAAGGTTTCTGGATGTAGGTTCAGGTCTTTTATCCATTTAGATTTGATCTTGGTGTACAGTGAGAGATGTGGGTCTATCTTCTGATTTCTGCAAGCTATTAACCAGTTGTCCCAACAGCATTTATTGAAGAGACCTTCCCCCCCCTTTTTTTTTTTTGGTCAAAAGATAATTTGGCTGCATCTGGGTGGGTTCCCTTCTGTTGTTTCAATTCTGCTCCATTGATCCTCCTCTCTATCTTTGTGCCAGTACCAGGCTATTTGGATAACCGCTGCC